TGGCAGTGGACCTTTATTGGCATGCAATGTGGCATTCACATGACATTTAACAATTTCTGCTGATAAAAAGGGTACTTTTGTTTCAATAGTTTGACGGAAAGGGTAGTTTTGAGCCGAAGTATAGTTTAAGAGTAAATATGAGCTATTTCGGATAGTTTAAGGGTATTTTGACCCTTTTTATTTAGTCTACGTGGCAGCGGAATCCTTTTGGCATGCAATGTGGCATCCACATGGCATCCACGTGGCATTTAACAATTTTCGTTAATAAGAAGGATACTTTAAACCCAATAATATGACGAGAAAGGTAGCTTTGAACCTTAATAAAGTTTAAGGGTATATATGAGCTATTTGGAATAGTTTAGGGATATTTTTGAACCTTTTCCGTTATTTAATTTGTCTACATTAACTCCTTCCACACTAATGGAGTTCCATCTATCATTTTATGTTACTCTTCTTTGCATTATCCCCACACTAAAAGAAGTGTATGTTTATGTGATTGGATGCCAATATTTGTGCCTTTTCTTCTTTGTTCTCCTATTTGTTCCTTCACATGTATTTTCAATTAGTTTTACTACATTGTTAATTTGTCTCCACCACTCCTTCCACACTAATGGAGTTCCCATCTATCATTTATGTCACTCTTCTTTGCATTATCCCCACACTAAAAAGAAGTTTATGTTTATTTGATTGGATGCCAATATTTGTGCCTATTTTTCTTTGTTCTCTTTAATTGAAAAGACGAATTGGAGGGGGGTGATCTCTCTTTCTAACGTTAGAGGAAAATATTGGACAAGTAGTTAATCTCTTTCTTTAGTATTTTAATAATCCAAGTGGTTAATTTCATTGAAATGTTCATTTAACTTTTAATTCATTGCATTGAAGTCACAAATTTAAATTTTGTAATATAAAAATAATTTTGCAATTTTAAGTATGTCTTTTGACTTAAAAACTACAATTAGATTACTAATTATCTTATGTTACTTTTTAATAAATAATTCCTATCTAGTAATTTTGATCTCATATAACCAATTTAGCATTGGAACTGAAACATAGTTTGATTTGTATTTGAACCAATTTAGATATAATCATTTTGCAGTAGTCAATCTTACATCAATGCACCAAAAGGATATCCCTATGCTTTGGTGGAGATTATTGTATGTCGACATGGAGAAAGCCTTATGGTACATCAACAATTGTGAGTAGTTAAAGGAGGCAATTACAAATTGAAATTGTTCATGAGACACAAAAGAAAGTATGTCAACTGAATAGGTGCCATGATGCAGAATTACATTGCCATGATGCAGAATTACATTATGGATTTCATATGCTATGCTCTAAATTTCTAGCATGTTAGAGGAGGAATCCTATTTCATTTTGAAAATGGCTAGCAGAGTTCGGCAAGCATGAGCTATGACATGCTCTAAGTGTCCAACATGGATGAGAATGTAATGATAGGACTCTCTAAGATATCTTGTGAAATCACAATTTTGTAGCCTAAAATCTGAAAAGAAATATAAATCATTGTTGAAATCTAGAAAAGACTTATTTGTGTCACTAGAAAATTAGATTTGACAGGCACAAACTGATTTCGAAAATAATATGGGTAGGGTCGGACACTGGATGACCTATGGGAAAAAGAAATCTGCTTGATAAGAGACCAAAAATTTCTCACGCGTAGGCGTAGGCGTAGGCGTAGGACCTCCGAGAAGTGCGTGAGATTACGAAGGGGATTGTTTTCTCATAGCAACAGACTAGGGTTTTTTCGCCCGAACGTAATCCATTATGTGGTACTGTTGGTTTTGTACAACACTACTAGATTAAGATTGTGATGTAAGCAGCCACCAGAAGAATTATGCATGGTGGTGATGCATTTCATGTAACTTCACTAGAATATTGCACAACAAATATTTTCTCACTAATGCTCCAATGCCATGTGAGAACCAAGTAGGATTTTATATCCTACTAGGTAAATTACTCGTGCTTCGCATAGGATTGAACTATTTATTGAGCTTACATATGATCATTTCGTAATATCCTGTATTTTCGATACATACACAATATTGTTGAGAACATTTTTGTCTTGAGGTAAGCGTTCCTTTGAATCTTAAAGTACTATAATTTTTTAATTTTTGTTTTTGTTGCACAAAAGTTATGATTCATAGAGAATTTTAAATATAAGAAACAAGTTTAAAAAAATCTCCATGGAAATAAACATCAGACGTTAAAGAAGAGACTAAAAAGCCTCCAATATAGTATGTCATCTCATGTATATGCCAAAAATGATTCTAAAATTGTTAATATCATGAAGGCATGTCGCTTAGCATATTTTTCAAAAAGATAATATGTCAGGTTGTATCCAAGTTTACAGTTCACAAATTTAATTGAAAGGAGCCAAAAGAAAGAGTTATCGCTATAGAAGTTTATCTTCACCCCTTTTTTGGTAGCATGCCTTCTGTTGAAGAATGTTTGTCTTCATTTTTTTGGAAGAACACTTGATAATGGTTTCTCCAAAGTCTTCATCATTTACCAATAAATTTCCATCTTAGGTAAAGTTGGTTCCCTAGCCAACCTGCGTGTGGTCGTAATTATCTCTTTATACTCCAGTTTTAGACCATGAACCATGGTTCTCCTCATCCTTGTCTCTTAGATAGTATTCTTTGGATCTAACTTTAATATTTCATTAGACAAAAATCTTACCTTTGAGAAGTATTGATTGATCATCATCACCCCCTATGAGATCGACATAACTCAGTCATTTCAAGTTGTAATTGTGTATAATTCTTCCCAAATGAAATCATCGTCAGGTTTCCCAAGCTTCTTTTAGTGTCTTGGCGTTCTTAATTTGTGCACGAACTCATCTTCGATTGTTATCAGTGAGAGCATACATGGACCTTCTAGCTTTAACCTTCCTAATTTTTGTTGGTTTGGCATCAGTTGATGGTGTAGCATTTGATCCACCAACAATATCCCATAATGATTGACCGAGAAAATAATATCTCATCCTCTTATTCAACAATATGTAGCTTCATGAATTGAGCTTCTCAATGTTTGTAGAGAGTGCTTGCAAAATCAGGTCATTAATCAATGGCTCGTGACTTGCTCCTTTGAGTTGCTACCTCATCCTTTGCACCCACTACACTTCAATATCACTTGTTGAGATTGATGAGCTCACAACTTGAATTTCATTATGTGATTGCAAAGTAAAGATCCACTTTAGTCTTACGATTCTTACCATGTATTTTTCTTGCACTCACACTCAAGCAACTATCTTTTGTTGCTTTATTTTGTTTTTATCTTAATCACTCACTTCTTGTTTGCTTACTTGTTTGAACACTCACTCTTTACCTGAGTTCCACTCATTTGAGCACTCTCTCTTTATAGAGTAAACCTTGTTGAGTGCGCACACCCCAAATGAATCACTTTCATTCATATGTGGTGGTGGAAGATTCAATCTATAGGTGGTGATGGAAGAATCACATTAAAGGATATTTACTATTCTATTCTAAAATGTTCCTCGAACTACTAATTTCTAGAATATTTTTAGACTCCTCTCTAGAATCCTCATCGAGAGATTATTTTTCTTCAATTCTCTAATGCTCTTGAATATTTTAGATGCTTCTTTAAAATATCAATTAATTAAGTTCAAATTCCTTTCATCCTTTATATCTTATTGGACATGCTCTACTATCCTATAAAGTAGAGGCTAAGGCAGACCCACATGTGCCCTTGAGGGTACACATGCACCCGTCTTCGAAAAATTATGTATATATATATTCTCTTGAGATAGACATATTTTATTAGGCACACAAAGACACTAAAGCCAATTGGGTTTGTTGTTTCAGACGCTGAACCCCTTTGAGGCGAGGGGACTGGGTTCAAATCCCATTTGCTATTGTTCTTGTTTTTATCAATATCAAATATCGAATAAAATAAGGGGATGGCACACTATTCTTGTTTTTTATCGAATATCGAATAAAATAAGGGGATGGTACTCTATTCTTGTTTTTTTTCAATATCGAATATCGAATAAAATAAGGGGATGGCACAACCTTCATAGTGCAAAGTGATTTAAAACTACCACTCCACAAAGAAAACTTTATCTAATAGAGTCATTTTGTTTATACTTATACGTTAATATAGTAGTTTTATACTTTTATGTTTAATAAAATTATCATATAAATCGGTATTGGGTATGTGCTTTAACTAACATGCATTACCCGTTGGTAGTGCACCCATCGTCTTCAATCTTAGGTCTGTCTCTACCTAGAGGGCTTTCAAATCTACTTCTAAGATATACCCTTATTCCTAACTTTGCTGTCTTTAGAAACAACCAGATTAAAGAGTCCATTTATAATTTTCATGCACTACTATAGTAAATTTTCAGCTTTGATGTTGTAAATGGGTATTTCAGTATTGGTGTCGACAACAATATATTATGAAATGCAGTAATTTCTCTACTATAATTAATTTCCAATGCTCAAAGGCAAAGAAGACTTTTCTGAGTTTAGAGGTGTGAGGTAGCATGAAATAAAGACTTACATTTGACATAGGCATTGATCGGATCAATATAGGTTATATATGCTACAATCGCGCCGTGAGTTTTATCAGATAAAAAAAATACTTCTGCAAATATGTAGGACTCAAAAAAGTATCGTTATCATTATAATACTTTGTTCGTTATATTTTTCTTTTTATAGTATATTTTAATAATAAAAAAGTTTTCCGTTAAAGGATTTAGTGCTTTTAAAAACATTAGATATTTTAAGGCGAGTGATTTACCTTCACAATTATTATTTATTATATTTAAAAACTTATACCAATTCAAAAACATAGTAATCATTCAAATCAGTATTTCGAAGTAAAAAAATAAATGCGGAATGGTCTGGTGGACCGGACCCTTATACTTGTATATTTTTGTATTGTTCAAGGCTAACTAGAACTTTCACAATACAATATAAGGATCTAGCAGACTATTCGCCAAAAATAAATAAAAGAAGAACCTGTTGGTACTGGAGAATTCAAAGAGGCGTCCGCGACTGGAGAAGACGAGGACGGCGACATCAACATCGCAGAGAACAGAGAGCTGTTTAGCTTTCTTCATGAGTCCATTTCTCCGTTTGGAGAAAGTTGCTTGCCTACTGCTCTTATCTTCAATTCGCTTTATTTCCACTTTCTTCCTCCCCATTTCTTCAATCTCCCAAACCCTAACTAATTCTCACAAATGAAAATGACCGAATATAAGAAGATTTGTACCTCCATCTCCATCACTTTCACGAATTTCATAAAGTGCTATGAGTTTAATGGTCTCCCTTCCTTTTTCGAATCGCCTTAATTTCATGTTTACTTATAATTCCCACGCCTATTCGTCTTCTACAGATTTACCTCTCTTTACACCTCTAATTCTATTCTTTACAGGGGTAAATAAAATAGGGAAATGTTACATACGTGAAATCCAGCCAATGAGAGATCGACACCTGGCTCGAAAATGGAGATTCCAACGGCGTAGGCCACTGGTAGCGGTGATGGCGGCGTGGTATAAGCGGAAGAAAACGGTGATACGGACGGCGTTTTGATTTTAACTCCCAAGGTTAAATAAAAATGACCTATTTTGACTTTGAGTATTTTTTTCAAAAAAAATCGAATTTTATGATTTTAAATTTGATTTTATAGGCTTAAATATATTTGGTGAAAAGTTAGACTTAGAAATAGTTATGTATAAAAAATAGTATAATGATAAAATTTACGAGTATCGGGTGTTTATACCTAAGTCAATACATGCATGTCACATGTTTAAACTTTTAGTTCATTTTACTTAATCATAATTAATTGGCGTGTGTTTTACTTCATTAAATCACATAATAATATAATCGGCGCGGATACTTTTTTTACAATTTGGGTGTCTTATTCGAGTATCATATTTGAGATAATTAATTTCATCATGTATATAATAGTGATGAGCAAAGTTATCACATAAACATGATAGAATAATTAATAAGTTATCTCACATGACAATTAATCTCGGTAATTGTTCTCGATTCCTAACTAAACAATCCCTTAAAATATTGTTAAAAAAATTTGGATAATTTGTTTTAGGGAAAACAAATGCCCTTAAACTATGAGAAAGGAACAAAAATGCCCTCAGTTTATAGTTAAGCTTAATCTCATCTTATCAATTAAAATAGAATAACTTTATGAACCCTTTTGACAGATAATATATGTCATATGTATAAGATTATTGTATATCCGTCATTAATTTATATTTATATAAGGAAAAAATATAATTATAATAAAATAATAAATATTATTTATTTATTTATTTTGAATTGAAATAAAATAAACATTTGCTGATTTTAAAAAAATATTATTAGAGATAGAATGTGTTAAAAAAATAATATATTTATTTGAAAGAATGAAGATTTTTTACCCAAAATAATAATAAGAGCATTTTTGGATCAAAGTATTTAGGGAGAGACATTTTTGAATAAAAATATAAACGGAAGACATTTTTATTCTTTTCTCATAATTTAAGGGCATTTTTGTCTATCCTTTTTCCTTTGTTTTAAACGAAAGAAGTAATTCAATAGGAGTAATAATGAGGAAAAAGGCAATAATAACTTAGAATATTTTTTTTACATCTTTATTTCCCTTAAATAGAAAACATTCCAAAATGAATCAATTGGTGAATAATGCAGGTCATTGTCTTATTTTCTTTATTTCTAGACTAAAGTCATTTACGACCTCTTAAAATTGTCGGCAAATTTCACTTAAACACCTCAACTAAAGGTTGTTCCTATTGAATATTTCTATCGTCAAAATATGTACCCATTAAATACTTTTTGATGACATGTTATTATAAGTGTAATACAATTGAAGGCAAGCGCGTGAAGCCAGACTTTTTTTTGCTGACCAATAATAAATGGACACATCAACCTAAGAAAATTCATAATCTAGACATAATTTATTTATTTATTTATTATTTAAAAAAAAAGCGAGTTGTCTTCTCCAATTCATCTTCTCAATCTCAATCCAAAATTACTTAAACATCATCGGCCAAATCCTTTGCTACCACCGTCCATTGACACGCCCCTTTTCCATATAATCCTTCATTCATTGTTTCTTTCTAGAATCAATATCATCATTGTTCTCATCATCGAAAAATCATCAATGAAATATATAACTAATAAAAACACACAAAAAAAAGAGTTTACTGTTAAAGATTTTCATCGAGTTGTGAAGAGAATTTCATAAAAAATAATTCCGACTAAACTCCATTTTTTGCGATAAAACTAATACAAATCTGAAATTATTTTCTTATATGATTAAGAATGGAAAGGGGAAAAGGTGGAATAAGAATGGTTATCGGAGAGTACAAAATTATAGTTGTCGATCGAGGTGCGTTTCTTCAGACAAAAAAGAAAATAGGGAAGACGGAAGTCGGGGTGGGTGGGTTGTGTAGGCTATGAAGAAAAAAAAAGAAAGGTTTTTTTTAGGCTGAAATCATTTTTAAATTGTTATTATGGGACAATGCCATGTGTTTTTTTTAATTAGTTTTAATGTCACATCAGCCGCGAGTGTATAACACACAATTTCTATTTTTAGTTGGTTGTAAAAAAATGTTCAATAGGAATTTTTTAAACTAAAAAGGTATTCAATAGGAACAACCTTTAGTTGATGTGTTTAAATGAAATTTGCGGACAACTTTAAGGGATCACAAATGAATTAAGCTTTATCTTTGACATGCTTTGAGATTAGTTCTGAAGGTTAGGGCGTGATTCCTCAATATGACAGCTATGTGGAACATTTAGTACCACGAGAGCATTACTCTTTGTTCAAACTAAAACACGTCTTACCTGGCGTTATACGTAAAATTCATGTGTCTATTTGTTTAACTTTACAAAAAATTAAGTATTTAATTATGTACAACCAAAGTTGAAGGATGTAAATATTAACTGAAGCCAAGTTAACTGTTATATTTAAGTATTGTGCCTAATTTCAAATAATAGCTTACAATCACATTGATTTAGAAACGAAATTTTGTTCGAATGTGTAATTCAAATTTTTAAAGTTATATTTTTGTATTACTATGAAATTTTGTAGTTTATAAAAAATTATATTTTCTCTAACTCTTATAGAGTATTACAAAATGAGTAAATTATAATTTATAAATGTAATAACAAAATATCTTAAGGTGTTGAATTAATAATGAAAAAATTGCAACCAAATACAATTGGACCATCTAGCTTACAAAATATATACACAAGTGTATAAGCCTCTGTTTGGACTCAATTAAAACAAGTTATAAAGTAAAAACTAAAAAGTCAAATCGTACTTTTTGTTTTTGACTTATTCTAAGTCATTTTAAACTTATTTTAAGTCATTTTTTTATTTTGTCAAATACTTCCTCACTTATTTTAAATTATTTTTATATTCGCCAAAAAATTTTAGAAGTCAAAAACTGACTTAAAAGTAGGTTTGACCAACTTTTAAGTCAATCAAAGCATCTTCTAAGTAGTATTTACTTTAAAATTACTACATATCTACATCAACAATACACTCAGTTGTCACGGACCTAGAGAATCTGCTCGTACTCGGTGCGACACTTGACAACTTACTCACGATCTTGTAAGTTCAAGTAAGCCTTTACTACTCGGAACGCTAAGAGAATGCAAAGAAAGACTTAGAAAGGGCAAAGAGAACTTTAGAAGAAGGAACCTTGTATTACTACTTTACTTGGTTGTTGGATTCTTGGATGTCTTTACAAATGAATGGCCCTCCTATTTATACTACATCCTAAGGGCCTAAGAGTAAATAAAATTTACTATACAAGTCCTTCTACTAACTACACTTTAGTCCATATTCTAGAGAATTCTACATTATCTAGAATATGCTAAAGTTTTCTACAAAGCTAAGTATTCTAGAGAATTCCCTACCCTTTGAGCAACTTCCTCAATGGTTGCCCGATCTCTCTCGACCCGATCTTTCGAGCTTCCTCCTTCTTAGGAGGCAAGTTCCTTGGTGGCTCCTCTTTCATCACGGCAGCGTTCCTTCTTGGAACCTTCTTTGTGCGCGGTGGCAAGGGCTTCTCAGCACCATTGTCTTCTCCCGAGCTTGCAATGGTAGCTGCAGATGTTATCTTCTTTCTCTCGTCGACCCTCTCGAGCTCCATGGTAGTCAACCGGACCTGTCCCTCCGTCTTCAGTGCCTTCACCATGGGAACCATACATGTTCCTCCTTTCTCCATGACCATTAGTTGTTGGAGGTAAGGATTGATCACCGTGTGACATGTCTGGAAGAACTCCTGCCCAAGAATTATATCAAAGATATCTAAGGGAGCGACGGTGAAGTTGGTTTTACCTTGCCAATCGCTTATCGTGATGCTCACTCCGTGCGCAACTCCATCAACGGGTGCCCGTGGTGCATTGACCATCCTGATTTGGGCATTTCTTGGACTGTAACGCAACCCCAACCTCGTTGTTGCCGTCTTGGCCATGATATTGACCACTGCACCTGTGTCGACCAACGCACGAGCACGTCTTCCATTGATCGTGATGTCGACGTATTGCGCGCCGCATGCCTTAGGCTCCTAGGCCTCTATTCCGCATGCCTCGGCTTCTCTTGCCTCGGTGGCTTCGGTGGTTCCTTGGTGACAACTCCGCATAGACTTATGAAGCCCAACTGCTTAGTCTCCTTGACTTCATCTTCCTCTTGTGCTTCCTTCTCTTTCTGTTCTCGTAGGATAGCACCAAGGTTTTCAGTTCAGGGCACTTTGCATAAACATGCGGCCCACCGCATATGTAGCGACCATCTCCCTTGGCAACCTGTGTCTTCTTTACCATGTTGCCATGATCTCCGGACTTCTTGCTGTTGGACCTATAGGTATCATGACTGTGAGGCCGTTGCTCCTCGCCTCACCTCTTGGGTTGTGGCCGTTGCTCCTCGCATTCACCACGATCTCTCCCACCATTATCATGACTACCTCCTTCGTCGTTCTCCTCGGCACTATAAGACTTCTCCTGCCTGAAGTCTGTCAAAGCTTTGGCCTGTATAATGGCATCATCAATAGTCCTGACCTGTCGCCACTCCAACTCCGTCCTTGCCCAACTTTTCAGCCCATCCATGAAGTGGAACAACATATCTTCATCCGTGAGGTTAGGAATCTGAAGCGTAAGGGTTGTGAACTCCCGCACATACGTGCGTATGCTGCCCTTTTGCTTTAACTCCCTAAACTTGCGCTTTTCCTCATAGATGACGTTCTTGAGGAAGAACGCCTTCTTGAATCCTTCGCGAAATTGCTCCCACGTGTTATGGTGCATGTCCCCCTCTTGATGTCAGACTCTTTACGCCTCCACCATAGCATGACCATCTCCAAAAAATACAACACTGAAGTGTTGATCTTGCTTTCATCACTTCACACCCGATTACACTTGAAGTAGTTCTCCAAGTGCCATAGGAAATTCTCCACCTCTTGCGCGTCATGGACACCTTTGAACATAGGTGGCTTGGGAGCCTCGACTCTGGCCTCCCTTTCCCGGTCAAGTGATGTCGATCCTCCCACCTCCCTGTCTTCCTTGAGCGCTTTCAATTTGGCCTTGAGCGTCTCAATCATGCTGAGCGCGTCCATAAGCCGACACTCCAAGGATGTAATGGACTCCTTCATCTCGAACTCGACCCGCTGGCGTGCCTTCAACTCATTCCGGATGTTGTCGTTCTCC